AATCTCTTACAATGGATGTTGGCCCTTGATGTTTAAAAGTTTTAGTTTCCTGCAAAATTAGCTGGTCCCCTAAGCACTGACACCCATCTCCTGTTTTAGGGTGGCTCCTTTCTCTTGCAGGGTCCTATGGAGCCACCCTTATCTGTGCTAGTAAGGTTTGTGTGTCTCCACAAATACACAGTCACAGCACAACTATCCACTCCCCCACCCCTGCTACCCTCTCCTGATCCCCCTATAGACAGCTGCTAGAGACTGTGCTGTCTCTTGTGTTCTTGTACTAGACAAGAAGTTCCGGGAAGCCGATCTGAGAAAGTTGGCGCTGTTCTGAAACATGATTTAAGTGTTTGGTCAAAAATGTCAAGAGATATTTTGCTGGGCAATATATATTTGTTAGATCTGGATTTAATATTGAAAACATGTTTGAGAGTTTAACTTTAGGAGCTAAGTAAAGTTAGGCGTAAGGCCAGGGGGTTAAGGTTAGGGGTAGATTTTTTTTTTTAGTTTTGGATGGGGTGGCGAAGGGTTAGACTGTGTGTTCCTGTTGGGGAGACTTACCCCTCTATTTGTCCTGATCACCGGTGTCACAGAGACTGAAAGTGAGAAAAAATCTAAAATATTAAGATGACACCAGAGCGGGAATAGGAGGGAGATCTTCCAATTCTGGTTCTGGTGACAAGTGTCTAAGAGGGCATTTTCTTCGTGTTAGAAAGATTTCCTCTTACTTCTTGGGACATAGATGACAAGGAGTTTATCCAAAATATAAAAATGGGTTTGGCTTAAAATACATTTTAAAGCGTATGTAAAGTGGAACAGATGTCCTTATTGGATCCCCCCCACCCCCATTCTTGTCATTGTGACAATGTAAAATTATGGATTTTCCATCACTTTCTCTACCAGTGATAACCAGGACAAATAGGGAGGAAAACAAATTCCCCTTCAGGGACACAGTAATAAAAACCTGACAGGGATTTTACCTTCCCCCTACCCTATTTAAAACAGGTACAGGTATGTCTAAGCATTCACTTATAAAGAGAATAGATACTCTGTGCACAGGGGGCAGCTTTAAATGTAGATTTATTAATGTGCTGTGTTTTAAAATGTTGTATTCATATGCGCACATTCACTAGCCTGTAGTCAAGTAATTGCAGTAATTTCACTGTCTAATGTGCACAAGAATTTAGCAAATGAATGCTTTGGCTTTGCACTTTGGTTTCCTGCCATACAAGTAACTGCACACATGTACTAATCCAAGAGCTTGTATAATAAACGTCAGAGCTAGGCTGTGGGTTGACATATTAGGGGGGGTTGTCCACACCACTCTAGTCTCAGACCTTTCATCTGTCTTTTTAATGTGCAGGAAATACTACAATAGTGATTCATGGCTTCCCCAATAGAGCCACAACAGAAGCTACCAAAGGCCTCTTTTTAGTTTCAGTTATACTGCGCCTAATAATATCTAATAGGAACATTTCTTAAAATGATTGCTACTGTAGCTGGTACATTTGCTGCAAAGTCTACCCCTCTACCAAGTTGTACACTAGAAATGTTTTTGTATGGTGCACTTTCATATTGCCCGCTCACAAATTTGGACCAAACAAACTATTGTCGGTGAGCCAGATATTCAGAGCAGAGAAACCTGCTGTATTGGATGTGCCTAAATGAGTCAGTCAGTATTTGGCGTTTATAGAGGCAAACAAGAGGATGATGGCACAAGACAAATACACATTCTACTGCACGTCAAATAATATATGTATTGCAACATAAAAGGTTAATTGACACCAAGATAAGATGTCACATGTGACAGTTCTCATTCCTCAACAACTGCTAGCCTTAGTTTATCTGGCCCTTTTATATTTATCATACTCTGTGCCAGATAATTTCTATTTATACTACAGTGGTTCAGTTTATTGGAATTATTTTACGTTAGTCAGTCTTTGATAACCTAGATCCACTCTCTAAAAGGCACTCATTAAACATTAGTTAGATAATATATCTTAAATTGAGCTATTATTTAATCTTTCTACCGCTGGAGGTGCTAAAATGACATGGCAGAGTTATTTGTGGACACACGGTTATGACATGAAGCAGGGATAATGGGAGCAAAGGCTGAAGCTTTCCTTTTACTGGGCAATAATCAATCTATTTGACATTGCTCACCAACCCACCGATAAAAGCTTCTACAAAACACTTTACAGTGTCAGGTTAAAGCTGGATTCCATCACAAATATCCGTGTACAATGTCTACATATTACAGCAGAAATACTGTATACTGTAAGGTTCAAATTCAGATGCTTCAAATGCGTTTGGATCTGGTTGACAGTGTCAATGGAGTAAGTACTCAAGGGTGTTTTATTCTGCCACAACATTGATGCTTGTATTTGAAGGACTTTTTAAGTCTAAATTCCAGGCAAGACGTTATATACACACTTTATACCTATGTGGACATTGCTTTATCTGCTAAAGGATTTCTAACAATGTAAAGAAGAGCCAAAGTGCCACCAAAAAAAGCAGATAGCCTTTTTTCTAAAGAAAAACTTTCTTTCACACTCCTTGCAATCTTTTACAATGCATACTGCACTGTGCATCCTTAACCCCGGTGGAGTGGAATTCTGGCGGGTAAGTATGCCATAATTATGGCAAGAGACCACCCACCACCATGCAGACCTAATTCTGTAATATTTCTTTAGTTGATTCCATTAGTCTTGTTGTGCAGGCAGCAAAGCCAGATAAACAATACAATATACTCATCCACCTGCCCACAGACTCTCATTTAACAGTTCAAACTGTCAGTACTGCACACTGCAATCAGGTCCTGGTGGGTTTAGAGTGCTAATCCCCCATCTCAAAGGCTGAGTGCTATTGTTCATGGGACTAGAGGAAGCTGATATCAAGACAGAATCATGTACTTTTTACTAGTTCTATAACTAGAATAGCTGTGTTAGAGAGGTGTCTGGTGTTCAGCTATAAATCTATTATAGATTATTTCAATTGCCTTGACTTTGTCAATTAAGTTAAAGGGAAAATACAGCTCAGCCTATATCTGTTAGATATGTATCTAAATTTACTCTGGGTGCGGCCATGCTAATTAATTATCTGCAGTGTCAGTAAAGAGCTGTGTTGGGATCCCGTTCTACTTCTACTGCAGTATTAAAGATTTAAAACAAACATTTTAAAACCATTGACTTTCCAGTTCCCATTATGCAATATGTTCCCTCTCTTCCCAGGAAACAGGGATCACTCGTGCGTATGAGGAATGCACGCCATATGCATCATTTTGAAATCTGTTTGGACAGGGCAAACTCTTTGACCACACTTGGACACACATATAAGGGATGATTTGCTAAGGGAGTACACTCAAACTGGTGCTTTTTTTATGTTTTACACTGGGTTTACACCTAGGCGTATCGAATATGCGCGTGTGTTTTTACCGCGATTCGGGTGCTTGCTGGTGAATTTGTGCAGTGGTTTCTGCATTATTGATTTCCAATAAAGCCTATTTTTTATCCAGTGTCTAACAGAGGTTTCAAGTTCCTTGTATATCTTGTAGGAAGTGCTGTGACTTTCTAGGTGATTCTAGGAAGATTTATTACTATTCTAAGTGTTTCATATTTGGAGCTGGTGGCTCTCACAATGGTTTGGTGGATTTCACGAGCCTTAGAACTAGCTCTTCCAGATCAGTAGATATCAACAACTTTTCTAATCTCCCTCCTTTGATTGTGGCATTATGAATTTGTTTGATCCTTGTGTTGGCAATTTGACAGTGAAGGAAAGGATCATTATATGTGTGGTTTTGGTTGAACAAGTCAAGTTGGTCAAGCTTGAGTTTGTTAGATCTGTGCTCTCTATTTATCCCTTTGAAGTAGACTCAATACTAAAATTCACACTGAATCAGCAGGACTCGTCAGTAAAAAGAAATTATATTAGTTTGAGTAAAAAATGTATCTTTCTGGCCATAAATAAATGAAAAAAAATCATATGTGACCTAAAGCTTAGGCAGAGGTCACATGGTCTCTGACTATTGGCAAACTGCTAAATACACATATGAAATACATTTATGGTAACTGTTTTACCTGCCAAATTATTTTTATTTCTGTTTATCCAGTCTTGAGATGTACACAGTTCTCCCACAGATCTCAGCCATGTCTGGCAGAGCGGGATGACTGTTTTTTTTCCTCTTCTGTTATCTAACACTTTTATAGTTTTTGTCCTTCCACAGGCTGTGACTGGACAGTAAGAAGGGAAGCAGCACACTACTATACTGTACTCTTTTTTTACTCTGTGCTTTCCTCTCAGTTTGCCCCTTGTTAGTACATGAGCACTGCAGCACCTGACTGGCTTCTTACACTGCATCTTCCTTTCCCAGCTCTGCTGTATAGAAGATTGCAAGAGGCTGATACCGAAATCTAGTTCTTACACTTACTGCTTGCAGTTTAATAGATTTCAATGTGTATAAATCAATAAAGATTTGCATTTTTTTTGTGCCGAATGTCTTTTGTTTTCAGGCAGACAGAACTGTCTGGTAGACTTGTGGTGTGATGTGAGGACCAGTATGGCAAAACCATTGTGCAGCACTGATACAATATATGTACACTGGGTATCAACCAACATTCCACCTTGCAGTGTGTTGTGATACTCCAGATTGCACGGCTGTCAGCATGCAGTGGAGAAAGGAAATGGTCCACCCATTCCATACTAGGAATCTGAGGGCTTTTTGTAAACAGGCTATGAACACCAGCAAGTGTCACATGAAGATGTGATGTTTGCTGCCTGATTTGCATTATTTACAATATTCAGTATAATTTGTTTCATTTTGATAATTTATTTCAGATTGATTCATTTGTTATGGATTTGCATGTGAAAAAGTGAAGGCAACATTTGTTTAGGTGTTGTATTTGTGTATTGTATATGTGAGCATAACCAGGTTCTTCTCAAGCTGATACCATTATTAAAAATGTGTTTTCTGTTCCCAGGTAACCAGTGAGGAGCTACAGAAATTCTGAGGCCACATCTGGTGGATGAGAAAACATGGGCTTGATTGTTTTGAGAGTCTCCATGCTCCTGTTGCTTATTGGACTTGCCTTCAGCAGAGATGCTGGGGATTCCTTACAAAATCGGACTGATCTTACTTCAAACCTCACAATGATTTTGAGCAAACCCCAAGGGAATTGGACCCATTCTACAGGCTTGTGCACTGAGAGGACTAAAATTAACCGTGTCTTCAAGTACATAAACACTATATTATCCTGTGCTATTTTTATCGTTGGGATGGTTGGGAATGCAACTTTGCTCAGAATAATCTACCGGAACAAGTGCATGAGGAATGGCCCTAATGCACTGATAGCCAGTCTGGCGCTTGGTGATCTTATCTACATTGGTATTGACATTCCCATTACGGTGTTTAAGGTAAGAGACTACATCAGACCTTCTTTGCCCTGCTAAGTGTCCTTTCTTGTGGGAGACAGTGCTATTCTCAGCATTATGGGAAAAATCCTAAAGAAGCTGACCCTGACATGACATTCTAACACCATTAACAAAGGTGTCACTACGATGTAGTCTTCAGGGTGTTCACCAATGCTCTGGTGTACAGATAAGTATGTGCAATGCTGTTGATCTCAAAGCTGTGTATTTTTCTTTCTTCAAAAGTCTCTTCTTTGGCAAGAATTATCTCAGAGGTGCTATTGAATGGCAAATTACAGTTTAGAGCATATGGAATGGCAATTAATTCTAAGTAAAATGTACTTTTACTGACATTTCAACATCGTATCTAAATTGAAGACCATTGAAGTACTAGTCTGGCAGAGAGATAGTTGTTGTTTGCAGCCAACTGCTTGTTACTGTTGTGAAAGATGCTGGAGGCAGCCTAAGGTAATACTACCCTAGGCCAAAATGCTGAAAGGTTGGGGAGTAGGCTGCAATTTAGCTATGTAGCACTTTTCTATCCTGCACCAGAAAAATAATAATAATAGAGCGCATATATATATATATATATTAATATATATATCATGCATATCATGCATTAAGTGCGTAAAAAATTTTTTTTTTTACATACTATGTGTTACATTTCAGAAATAGGCTACTAGAAATTACAGTTGAGTAATAACAAGTGCAACTCTGACAAGGTCAGAAAGTACTGCAGATACAATCTGAACTGTTTGTTGAAAGGAAAACATATCTCAGAATCTTAAAACTTCTATATTTGTTTTGTCTCAGTAAATGAAAATATCCTTGGCAAACCCAGGAAGACACTTATTCACATATAATAGACAAGTACAGACATAACCTAAACACTTAAAATGATGGTTCAAAATGTAGGCATGTATAATTTGAAGGATAAGCAGTAAGAAGGTGATCCAGTCCTGACCTGATGCTTATATATGTAATTTATATTATGATAACATTTCCGATGTAGCATAAATGAAAAACATAGGTGGATTGTGTAATCACTGTTCAGCCCTGGCAGAAGGCATAAATAATTTCTAGCTACATGTAATCCTTTGACAACATGAAGATATAACCATTACTCTTAACAGCTGCCCTTGTAACATAAGAAGCACTGAAATGGGCAATGAATTAAAACAAATCCTAAATGTATTTATTTTAAAGTTTTGGATAGAATGGTTGAGAAATTAGAACCCCTTTTAATTGCAGCAAGTGTTAGTGTTGTATCAATAAGTGAAGGGAATTGTCTCCAATGGGGCACACATGGAACAAACAGCAGGGGTTTTAATAATTTCCTATTATTGTATTCAATATTTAAAACATGTTTTGGCTTTAGATGTACTTTAATGGTTAGGTTCAAAACTGATACTTCATATATCTGTTCAGTGAAACATGTCTGTTTTTGTTGCTCAGGAACTCTGACATCAATACATATACACTGGTATCCTGGATACACAACCCACCATGGCAATTAAAAGGGGGTCTCTAGAAGTTATGATACATTTTACTGACTGTCCATTATCTGAACTTGTTGTGTGTGTATTGCTGATCTGATGGCTGAATATCCAAATATGGCTGGATATCCAAACATGTAGCTTGTATGCTCTCCGTATTACCTGGAAACCATTTAAATGTTACTAGCAGATTATACATATACCAGAGTCACATTGCATTCTTTGGAAGGTTCCACGTCAGTTACTGTGTTAGTGTAATCAAAATGTTTATAGCTGTCATGATTTTGGCCGTAACAGTATCGTTTCACATCTGACCATATGACAAAGCATCATGTCAGGCAGAGGGGTCTCCAAGGTCACATCTGCAATAGGTTAACATTCACCTAACATATGGAGATCATTTTTTACTGGGCATCAGCTGAAATATCAGACTGAGATTTATAGCAACCCCCTTATCTTGAGAAACATTTGTTATTTTTCAGTTGTCACTGGGTAGCACATATAGTAATATATTTTTAAAATAAATCTTTTTACCAAGATTTTCTAGAATTACATCCAGTGCTGTTTGCTATCTGAGGCTGCTGCTACCTTTTTAAGGCTTTCATTTTTTTAATCTTTTTTCTTTTAATAAATGCAGTGCTTTTGTTTTTCTAGTTTACATTTGTGCTTTTATCAAAGTATTTATATCATCCAGATGTGTGATATAATATTGCTTAACATATGTTGTGCCTTTTTTTCTAGTTTATTAAGAAACCAGTATAAATAAGCAACTTTTTTAGCATTTTGTATAGTTCTTTCTGAAACAAAGAAACGTTGGCAGGCTTTGGTTATTGAAAAGTAGAAGCTGCTATAAGCACGCCTCTCTTCCCTTTGCTTCTCTCTTGAAAAACAAATGCTAAAATGGGCAAATGGGTTTTATAAATATGGAGAAGGATTCAAGAGAAATTCTGTGGTAAACAAAGGTGAACCCATTCACCAATTTATAAATATACCCTTTAATAACAAACAATATATTATTTGGCACAAGCTACAGGTAGGCATAGTGAAGACAAGCCTCAACCATATATAAAAACAATTAATACCCACACTGGTTCTCTTGGTTGTAATAGAGGGTCAATGTACCCAAATATAAAATATAACTAGCTGCTGGTTGAATCTCGCAATAGCTTTTTATACCTTGGACTCCAGCAGTGAACTCTCTTCCCCTGGATCTCCTAGGTCAGCCAACCCGTAGTGGACATTAGGAAGAGGTCTGACTCTTTCTACAGGACATGCTATCTATTTTCATTACAGCAAATGCAATGGAAGGGGCAGAATGCTCCTACATGACTTTGCAGCAGACGGTGGAGGCAAAAATGTTGGTAGGAAAAGCTTGCAAGATCCAGTGAAAGATATGAGAAGAAGGTTGGGTGATTCAACATACAAGGAATCACCAAAAAATATCAGTTTAGGAATAGTGACCCTTTAATAATCTATGACAGTGCTGGTGTGGCAACTTTAGGACTTGACGCTGATAGATAGTAGATGGCTTAATTTGTAACTAGTTGCATATACAAAAACAGCTGATAAAAAATCCACATGCAGTATTTATATATGCATGATACAACATTTATGTAATATATATACCTAAAAACAATTGAAACATGCATAATGCATTACTGCATAATAAATGAATATACACATTAAACAGCACATTAGTGTACAAACATAACATTAAGTCCAGTGTTAGACCATGATAGCAAATGCTAATATAAATAACCATTTACTCTCTTTCCCTGCTGATCAGCAAAATCAACCAAAATTGCTTGAGAGGTTCTCCCAGGATTCAGATAAATAATTGTATTCAGTTTACGTGGCCTTTCAAAATGAAGAACATTTTATGCCTTTAGCAAATTGGAGTAGATCTTGTTTAAAGTAAAGTTTACCAGTTCAACAGAAAAACCTCGACAGTCTGCAGAAGATGTGGTCATTTTGTTTCATCATTGTGTGTTAAATTAGATGTTTGTAGGAAACTCTTCCTGGTGCATTCATTTATAATAGACTAAACCCAACATTATGTATACAGTACCAATTGTTAAGACATTGGGAAACGGTGGGAGCCTAGATTGAAGAGATGTGTGAAATAAGACTCACATAGGCTCATATTGTTACACTGTAGCCCCAAGCATTGACTTCATTAGTGTCCAGTTACTGAAATCATTCACAGAGGCATAGCTTGATTGAGGAAGTGCTCTTGAACTTTCTTCAAGTGTTAGGTCACATATCTGTTATTAACATGCTTGGAGATCAGATCCCATTGTTGTCATAAGAAATATTTTACTTTCTCAGCAAGTCAAAGGACTGAGCATGGACTGCCAACCATGAACTGTATGAGCATAACTAAAGATCACAGGACACCTGGCCTAAAATTTTAACAGACAATTAATCAGATTTCATGCAACAATCTTCAAAGGTTCCGCTCATCAGTTTATTAAATAAGGTGTAGTTTGTTTAGCCTTAGTAAGCCTACTGTTTGCTCAAGCAGCAGATAATGTTACATAAAAATGAATACTGTTATTTGTACCTCCCAACTTTTTGAGGCGGGAAAGAGGGACACATTATAGCACAAAGTATGTAGGCAAAAGACAAAACCCTGAACAGGTTTACGTCAGCCAGGAAAAATTATTGGTTAAATTGACAATACCTTTTATGCCGGCTTTTCAAAATAACAAATAGAATACTTTAGAAGCTAATGAAATGTTTAGTGTAAAACACTTTTCACAGTTTAATAGTACATTTTATATAGCAGTATATGCAACAGACCAAAACAAAAAGACAATGTGAAGGCGGAAGAGAGACAGAGGGATTTAGTTCCAAAATAGGGACAGTTCCTCCAAATGAGGGACAATTGCTACAATGTTATCTTCTGTAAAGCCAGTAATGTAGGTTCAAATAATAAATAACAAGAGTAACAATGATGTGACCATGATTTAATGGGCCCAGGAGATGTTTCCTCCATGTTCCTTTTACTTATTCTCTTGTGTGCAAGCTTTATATGATATTATACAGTATAGAGTGCACACAATCAAAAATGTAAGGGAGCACTTTATCTATGTCTTACCATATGGAGTGCTTCCTGGGGGTTGTTGGAAAAAAAAAAGCATAATATGCTGTATAAAACTAAACAATAAAGGTGATCAGTGCCAGTAAGTGTAATGTGGAAATATGAGCTACCAAGCACTAAGGATATAACTAAATATCTGGAAAATGTGAAAAACAATATTGTGCCGAGCTAATAATCATACATATCTAATAAATTGAAACATATATAAATGAGTCACATATATGAGCCTTCAAACAAATGAGGCATAAGAAATATCTACACACATACAAAAAAGCAATATAGGCAAAAAAAGTCCCAAGGAAAAAACAAACGCAAACAATGGTGATTGTGCAAAAAATTCCTCAGATGATTCGCAGCCAATGTGCATATAACTCTCAGGTAAGGATAATCACACAATGCAGGCAGAC